GGTGCGAGGCTTTCTGGGTAAAGTGCAATTCATAAGACGGTTTATTGCAAAATTATCCTTGACTTGTGAACCACTCTTTGGTCTCCTGAAGAAAGGAAAGAAATTCTAATGGGATGGCCGATGCCAAGCTGCTTTTGAACAGATCAAGCAATATTTATAGAACCCACCTGTGTTATCACCGCCTGAGCTAGGGAAACTGTTGATCTTGTATCTTTCAGTGACTGAAACTACGATGGGCTGCATGCTTGCACAGGAGTCTGAAGACAAGGTGGAGAGAGCTATTTACTACCTGAGCAAGAACATACAGGATTACGAGACCCGCTACACTCCGCTGGAGAAGGCTTGTTTGGCCTTGGTATGGGCTACTAGGAAGCTGCGGCACTACCTGTTACCTCACTCCGTAATACTAGTTTCGAGATTAGATCCCATCAAATAGCTCTTTGAGAAACCAGCACTTACAAGTAGGCTAGCTCGTTGGTTGCTTCTGCTTTCCGAATTCAATCTGAAGTATGTGACGCGCAAGCCAGTGAAGGGGAGAGTGGTAGCAGAGTTCCTAGCCAATCACCCAGTGGAAGAGGATGAAGTAGTTCACTATCTGTTCCTAGACGAGGCCATTTTGCATATCGAAAAAGAGTTTTAGATGATGTACTTTGACGGAGCGTCAAACCAATACGGGTATGGGATAGAGGTGTTACGGATAACACCCAACAATTCCCTCATACATTTAGCATTCAAACTCCGTTTCAATGTCTCGAACAATGAAGCCGAATATGAGGCATGTATTGCAGGTTTAGAAGCCGTCCTAGAACTAGGGGCAAAACGGTTGGACGTCATCGGGGACTCGAACCTTGTTGTATCTCAAGCTAAAGGAGATTGGAAAGTCAAAGAAAAAAAGATGAGAATCTATCACCAGACCTTGGACGTGCTGATTCCTCGGTTTGAGAAACTGAACTTCACTCATCTGTTGAGAGAAAACAGCAGGTTCGCAAATTCACTAACAACTCTATCTTCTATGATAGACATCCCTTTTGGGGTCCGGATGCGTCCGATCATCATCGAGTAGAAATTTGTGCTGGCCTACGAGCTGATTGCCGCCGTAGACGAGGCACAAGATGAGAATCCCTGGTATTACAATGTTTGGAACTTCTTGAAAAAAGAGGCGTATCCACCATGGGCAAATGCTAAAGATAAGAGGGCAATTAGAAGAATGGTTGCTTAGTTCATCGTCTGTGGAGGTAAACTATTTAAGAGAGGTCATCTCGGGATGCATAAACTGTATGTTGATGCCGAAGAATCAAAGCACTTGATGGAGGCCATCCGTGGAAAAGAGTGTAGAGCGCACATGAGCGGGGTGATGCTAGCCCGGACGATCCTTGGACAGGGTTACTACTGATCCGCCATGGAGGATGATTGTATTGGCTTTGTCCGGCGATGCCACAAATGTCAGATCCATGCGAACCGCATGAACGTTCCGCCGTCGAAGCTGTACAACATGACTTCACCGTGGTCGTTTTCAGTCTGGGGGATTGATGTGATTGGGGCTGTCACTCCGAAGGGGTCTAATGGGCATAAGTTCATTCTGGTCGTGATAGATTATTTTACGAAGTGGGTTGAGGCCCAATCTTATGCGGTATTAAAGGCATCGCATGTTGCTAAGTTCATCAGGAACAACATCATCTGTCGCTACAGGGTCTCGAACGAGATCATTTTAGATAATGGTTCCCACTTCAAGAAAGAAGTGGTCGACTTGTTGGACAAGTACAATGTGACCTTTCATAAGTCATCTACATACCGCAGACCAATGGAGCTGTTGAGGCCGCCAACAAGAACATCAAGCACATTCTGCAGAAAATGTTGGAAACCTACCGGGACTGGCCAGATAAGCTGCCATTTGCTCTGTGGGGCCACCGAACTTCAATTCGAACTTCTACTGGGGTAACTCCATATTCCTTGGTTTATGGGATGGAGGTTGTTCTGCCTATCGAAGTTGAGGTTCTGTCATTATGGGTGTTGGCCGAGTGTCAGATAGCTGAGACAGATTGGTAGCAAAGCAGGTTCGAAGAACTCATGCTCTTTGACGAGAGGAGGCTGAAAGCACTGTACCATGTTCAGGGTTATCAACGAAGAATCGCCAGGGCTTTCAACAAGAAGGTTAAGTCCAGGAATTTGAAAGAGGGAGATTTGGTGCTCAAAGACAACCGAGCTCCCATCCACGACCCTAGGGGCAAGTTCAGACCTAATTGGACTGGTCCTTACATCATCGAGTCTATCTAGTCGGGTGGAGCTGTCGTTCTGATGGACCTAGATGGCGTAGAGTTCTCCCAACCGATCAACATGGACAAGTTGAAGAAATACTTTCCCTGAGTGGCTCGCGAGGCCAAAAACCCAAAAGGGTAACCTATGCAAAAGTTAGAGCAAAAAAAATTTAAAATAATAAAAACTAAGCTCGCAAGGTTGAAAACCCGAAAAGGGCGACCTTGGCAAAAGTTAAAGCGCAAAATGAGAGTGTTAATACACGAGTGAACCCAAGCCGAACTATGTAAGGCTTGATTCCCATCTTCAGGATACGTAGGCAACTTCATCATGAAGTCCAGCCATAAACACTTCCTCGATCAACTTTATCCGTGCGATCATATTGGTCATCTTTGTCTATTCTGCATTCAAGAGCTCGGTTGTGATCTCCAGTGCAATGCTATTCAGACTAGGGGTAACTTTCCAGTTGTTGGGATCCGGGGTTGTACATCTCAGTGATAGATCTCAGGAGTGTCCAGTTCTGATCCATATCAAAAATGGTTTTGAAAAGTTTTAATAAAAGTTGATTTTGCTCAAATTAATCTTTTTACAACTTAGACCACTTTTGGACCAAACGAAAAATTTTCAGTACCCACAACCTTCAATTTCATTGATTTCAACATAGAGTTCTCCTACTCTTGAGTATAAATTGAAGTTGCTTTTTATTACATTCATAAAGAAAACTTGAAAGTACTGATTAAAGCAAATAAATCTGGGGCATAGTCAGGTGTTCCTGCCTCCCCTTCCAGAGCTTGTGGAAGCCTCTGATGCCAAAGTGGGCCTGATCTGCACCTCCTCATCAAGCCAAGCTATGCACTCATCAGAGAGGGTACAACTGAAAATGGGAGCGGGGGCCAGAAGCTCTCTCGTCCTCCATGCTGTGGCATACCGAGCTAACTGTGTGCCTTAGACCGGAAATGCAGCAGGGTACTCTATGCCCTCCTCCGAGCAGGTCTGATCATGGCCAAACTGGCGCCAGAATCGGAATGGAAAATAGAAGACATAGTGTGTCAGGCCAATCAACTGAATCCCAGTTTGCCGGGACATGCTGTAGCTCATCGCCGATAAATTAAGCCAAGGGTAGCGCCAAACAATGCGGTCTGTGGACAAACTGCACATCCAGTTGCACCACCATCCCTCATCAGGGGCATCAACTAGACGTCGTCGGAAGAAATAGCTACGAGCTGAATATGCCGGGCATGAGTCCACAACTCTCAACTTGTCCATCAACCATACCTGGGGAGGGATGAAAAATGAGAGATTAAAGAATAGAGTGGTGTATGTTGAGAGAAAAGTGAAAAAAGGGTTTTGAGAGAAAAATCGAGCCTGAGGGCCGACTGATTTGAGAAACATATATGAGATGGGATGGGAAACATTACCTGCAGTAGTAGTGGACTCCCCGCGAACCTAGTCGTCTCCCGGCGATGGAAAGCATCCAAGCCCATCAACGTCTCAGCTAGTGTCATGGCAATGCAGCTCTTGCCTCCTTTCAAGCCTTCGGCAACCTCAATCAAACAAACGCTAGACCCTCCGAAGCCTGAGGCAAGCAAGAAATGAGATAGCATGCACAAGCAAAGTGCATGTCGCCTAAAACTCTGCCAATGATGGTCACCGCGGTCACCAGCATCAAAAAACAAATGAACCAAGCTGGGGATGTCCAATTCTCCATCATGTATTGAAGACCGTGCATCATACATAGTGAGTCCACACATCTGTCCTAAGGCTTGGACGTGGCCAAAGCAGAATTGAGGCAAGATTTCCTCCTTGTGCTCGGATTCTATTAAAGCTTGGAAATCCTCGAAAGTGGGACACATCTCTTGTCCGCCAAAGCTAAAGATGTGTGTTACCGGATTCCAAAACCTTGCCGCAGCATGAAGGAACGGAAAACACAGCGGGGTGCGACTCAACGTGAATATTGCATTTATGCCGAAGCCCCGAAAATTCAGTTTTTCCGAACCATCTAAGCTGGCAATCCAATTTGTGAGATTTTGGACAAGAAATGCTTCCATTTGGTGCAAAAACTGAACTGAAATGGAGAAAACTATGAAACTGGGGCTTTTGTAGAAGATAGGGTATTGAGTGGAAGACAGGTGTCAACATTCTGGAGGTGCTTGCCATTTTTGGCTGATCGGCCAAAAAGAGTGCCGACCGACCATCTTTTTTGGCCGATCGACTAGTAATTATGGCCGATGGCCATTTCTTATGGCCGATGGCCTCTCCCTTTGGCCGATGTCCTCTCCCCTTGTTCTATGAGCTATCTATGTGTTGAATAGGCTGAGAACTTGTGATTGGTTCCACTATAAATGCCTTTTGGTGATGATTTTCGAAGTCGCGCCTGTGTTACTTCAATTTGTTTATCGAGTTGTTGTACTTTTGTTTATTAAGTTGTATTTTGTTTTCTTTAAGTCTTTGTTTTGCTTATCGAGTTGTATTTACATTTGATTAGCTTGTCAAGTTCTTTGCTTTGCTTATCGAGTTGTTTTGTTGTTAGTTGGTTGGTTCACTACCTGATTAATGCAATTCGAGTGTTTAGTTTTCAAAACAAAAGTTCAATCTCATTTACATTGTTGTGTAATGCAATGCGATGTGATGCGATGCGATACATAAAATGTACAAATGTAACACTTTTTCAACAAAAGAGTTGTTTCATTCCATCATATTTCCTTTTGCAAAAGCACATAGTTTTGAAGAAAATAAAATCTCCCTGACGCAGTACAATGTGCAAAACTGCTAGTAAAAAGGAAAATAAAACAAAAAATGAGAAAAGCAATAAAATGTCTGAATAAAGCAAAAGAAAGAAAAGCAACATATGAATCAACAAAATGTCTGGATCGGTGCCAGTCGCCTCAAGTGCAAGAGTCTGTCATCGTCCTCTTCCTGGACGAAGGTCCAGGATCATCGCCGTCACCTCCGCTGTATGAGCCATCCCCAGCCTCATCCTGAGACGACTCTGCCTCGACATCAGACTCATCATCATCTGGGGTAAGCTGCCGTGAACTGTTCTCAGCATGAGTACGCCTGTGCCTGCCCCGGCTATGTATCGTCATCCATCGTCTGGCGCCCCCGGCTGCCCTGGGAGGCACTGATGGTCCCGTTGCGGCACCCCCTGTGGCCGACACCTAGAATGGGGCCTGAAAACGAACAATTGGCAAACGCATCAGTTATGCTATGAAAAGTCGAGTATGAATACCGAGTACAATATATGAATGTTGTGAGTAATGCTGTGAGCAGTATGTGAGATACAGTGTATCAGTGCCGTGAGTGGTATGTGAGTGCAGCGTATCAAGTGCCGTATCGATAAAGTGATGCATCAGATCATGTATGGAACAGACTGTGCAAAGTTTGGGACTGAGTTTGAAGGAACTTACTAGGATACCATAGATGGCCAACGGGTCGATGCTCCTCTGCAGCATCCACATCCCTGAGGCTGCCAGCTCCAGGGATTGTCCAGTATACTCTACGGAGGCCTGCAAAAGTGCTAAAGTCATTAGTATTCTGCGGGATATCAAATGAAATGAAATGACTGTACGGAATGAAAAGTATGGTACATACCGGGGTCGAGTCGCGAACTCCGACAAGCTCATGATCAGCCGGAGGAGGAGCAATGGGTATCTGGTAAGTCTCCCCACCCTGTCCTCGGCATGTCATGGTGGTGGGCAGTGCTGGCCCACCCGACTCCCTGTCTCCTCTGGGACCCACTCGTGCTATGGGCCTGGGTCGCCCTCAGTGCCCTTGCTCCTGCCGCTGGCGTTGCAGGCCTCTCTCTCTCGACTCGGCGAGCACCGGTCAAAGGCCACATGAGATAAGCCTAGATGAACTCGGTGTAGTCGCCCTCATCTCGGAAAAGGTCCGAATCCCAGCCGATAGTGAAGTCCATCATCTTCTCCAGGGTGTACCTCTCGGTAGCCCTTGTATGGGTAAGAGGTGGCCTTGGAACTATCTGCTCTGGTAGGCCGAGGGTCTACCTCAAGAAGCGCTCTCCGAAATACCAAGCCCAGTAGACTGGACCCTCTAGCAAATCTTGAACCGGGCAGTCTTCTGAGCACCTGCGTACTGGTCCCTCCCCGCGTCCGGCAATGCGGCCCAGGGCTGCCAGGTGATCTGCTTTGTTATCTGCTGTTGAAAGTATAATGTAAAGTGAAGCTTAAATAAACTGCAATGTTTGAAATACCTCTATGGCAGTGATGGTGTCGAAGTATCTGCGAAAAAACAGGAAAGACTCCCGTGGCCTCCGCTCACACCTCACGTTATAGCGATGAGAATATGGAACGTCGAGGGAGATCTCCACATCCGGCACTGGGGCAAGACTCGAAAAGTAGGCATACACCCACAACTGCAGAGTGTAAAAGGACAACAGTGAGTATGCTTATCAGATAAAACAAAATGCAGATAAAGCAGAAATCAGAGAATGTGTGCAGTGTATTGTGTAGTGTGTGCAATGTACAGCCAATGTAAAGCAGATTGCGTGTATGCAGTGTGTGTGGTGTACAAATAGTGTAAAGCAGAACTGTAAAGAAGAAGGAAAGGTGTACCTCCCAGGCCCGCCAGTAGCCTCCGAGCAAATGTCCGCTGTGTCGAGAGGATGAGCTCATATATCCATAAAGTGTGGGCAAGCCTGCGCCACCCCAGTCGTAGCGCCGGATCCGCGTCATGTCCACCAATGTGCTCAGCAGATAAAGGGCAACAGTGTTCACCCGGTCGGCGAAAAGGGTGGTCCCCAACAAAAACATGATGAATCCACGGGCATACTGCTCCACCTCCTCACGGATCGTGGGCGCCTGTACCCTGAAGTGGTCCTCGAACCAAGAATACCTCACGAACCCTGGCTAGGAGAGAGGTGACCGAGTGCCAAGCAGGTAGATCTGGGTAGTGTCCCACTCATCCATGTCAGTGTCAAAGGGAATCGGGTCACCCCTACTCCGATGCCTGTGAGCATGGAGAAGTCGAAGAGGGTCATCGTCATCTCCCCTATAGCAGAAATGTGGAAGGAATCGATGGTGTCCCACCACCTCTCCACTAGCATGCCAAGAAGGGGCCTACTTGCAGTGAGGAGCGAGAGTCCCATGCAGAAGGTGCCGAAGCCGGCCTGATCAACAATGTGGCAGACCGCATCGGGCAGCTCCATGTACCAACCTCGGGCGATGGTATTCCCATACTCCCGAAAGGCATGGGAATCTCCCTGTGTTCAAAGACAAACAGATGCGATGTAGTATTAGATATATAGTGTCTGAATGCGTTCAGAGTTAATGAAAATGCAGTTTGTGTGCATGTGTCCGAGTTTACACAAATATCGGGTGTGGGTGTGCTCACGGTGAACTAAGCATGTCATATATCAGTGTGTTTGGGTTAATCAGTTACAGAACAGTACTGGCTATCCGAAGTGTACAATCTACATTGCAGAAAATAAAAGAGGGGAAGAATGTACCTCAGCAGCGCCGTAGGAAAGGTGCGAGTCTGGCTCGCAAAGCAGGAGCTCCAGTGGCACACCTCGCGCGTAGCTCCTGAACTGACAGATGCTATCGGGAGGCAGTATGTGTATCGCCGGCCTGTAGGTCGCCGAATCGAATGGTCGAATGCTAAGAGGTAGGAGCTCGACCTCGAGATCCACATCCATCTTTGGGGGAGTCCCACCCCGTGGAATGTCGTCTGCCATCTCAAGAAGGGTGCAAAAATGGCCGAGGATATGGAAAACGGGTGAAAATGCAAAAAGTCAACCCAAAAGTCAACCCCAAGGGGTGAAAATGAGAGAAAAGGTTGGCGTGTTAAAAAGGCACGAAGATCGAGGTAAACTCAGGAGAAACAAACCCCAAGTTGTGGAAATCGAGAATGTGGCACCGAAAACGAGTTTCGTTCGGTTCAAAGTGTGTAAAACGAAGAGGGTTTCGCAAATCGAACGTCGTGGGAGGCTCGAAAACAAGGGAACAACACGAATCGAAGGGACGAAAATCACCTAGAGAGAGAGAGGAGTGATTTTTGAGCTTGAGGAAGTGAGGAAATAGGGTTTGAGGCCCTATATTTAAAGACCCGCGGTGAATGGACAAAACTGCCCCAAAATTGCCATTTTTGGCCGATTGGCCAAATTGTTAGGCGACCGGCTAAATTTTTGGCCGATGATCTACTTTTGTGGTCGATGGCCTCCCCTTGTGGTCGATGCAACTCCAATGCCCTTGTCTGGGTCAATTGTGTTGATTGGTACCCTTATCTCTCAAGACAGTGCAAGAAAGTACACTTTTGAAGCTTAACCGGCCTTCGTGTTGACCTCGAACCGTGTCTTCCGTGTGCGGCACTTGATACGCACAAGATGTATCCTTTTTTGTATCCTGTTGTATATTGCGAGATTTAGAAATTGTTTTGAATACTTTGCATTACAATGTTTTGTCATGCTTGTAACAAGCGCGCTTGTTATACGTCTTTTTGCTCTAGCATTAAGCATGCCTCATCTTGCTTTGAAGTTGTATCTCAACATCGCGAATAACATGCCTTTACCATGCTTCCGTTGAATATGTGCCTCTCTTTGTTGTCGCATTGTTATGCACACACTATATGCGTCGTCGCACACATTTCCTTGCATTGTCATGCACATCTCGCTTTCCTTGTTTTACACATTGCTTGCGTTGTCAAGCATGCTTTACTTACATGTATTTATGCTTTCCTTGCTTTGCACATTGCTTGCGTTGTCGCGCATGCTTTACTTACATGTGTTTATGCTTTCCTTGCTTTGCACATTGCTTGCGTTGTCGCGCATGCTTTACTTACACGTGTTTATGCTTTTCTTGCTTTACACATTGCTTGTGTTGTTGCGTATGCTTTACTTATATGTGTTTATGCCTCTCTTTGTTGTCGCATTGTTATGCACACATTGTATGCGTTGTTGCGTATGCTTTACTTACATGTGTTTATGCTTTCTTTGCTTCACACATTGTATACGTTGTCGCGTATACTTTATTTACATGTATTTATGCCTCTTTTGCATTGCTTCACACATTGTATGCGTTATCGCGTATACTTTACTTACATGTGTTTATGCTTTCTTTGCTTCACACATTGTATACGTTGTCGCATATGCTTTACTTACATGTGTTTATGCCTCTCTTGCATTGTTATGCATCCTACTCGGCTTGCGTTGTCGCTCATGCCCTCCTTGCATTGTTATGCTTGTTTCAAATTGCATTGTTATGCATCCTGCTCGGCTTGGATTGTCGCGCATGCCCTCCTTTGCATTGTTATGCTTGTTTCAAATTGCATTGTTATGCATCCTACTCGGCTTGCGTTGTCGCACATGCCCTTCTTGCATTGTTATGCTTGTTTCAAATTGTATTGTTATGCATCCCATTACTTGCGTTGTTGCGCATGCCCCCCTTTGCATTGTTATGCTTGTTTCAAAATTGCATTGTTATGCATCGCACTTAGGTTACACTGTCATGCACCCCTCCGCATTGTTATGCATCACACTAAGGTTGCATTGTCATGCACCCCTTCACTTGCGTTGTCACACACTTTTCACTTGCATTGCTATGCATGTTTCTAACGATATTGTACATGTTAAGTTTCTTTCTTATGCAGGCACGATATTGTATGTACAGTTCATTTGAAGCTGGCGCGACCAGACGAACCAGACGGTATTGTATGTACTCCGCGTGAGACATAGCGAGAATTGTATAATTCTCTTACATCCTTTCTGCATGTAATGTAGTTTGATTCTTATTCGCTTGCTTAAACTGTTACATGTTATGCTTCAATACAGCTCGCTTTGCATGATCATAAGTTATGTTCTGCATTGTGCGTGTCACTTGCATCCTGCCCCTGCCTGCGGGCGCATATCTTTGTTATCTTGTATGCTTGTCTAAGTCTTCGGCCTCGTCAAAAATTGGTCGTCTCTGGGCTTTGACATTCACTCCCGTCATCTTATGACATTCGAGTTCTTTCAAAGAGGGGCAACTGTAGATATCCCATTTTTGACTGTCCTCAAGACTTGGACGTCATCGTTTGAACACTCGATGATCATCCATGCTCGTGTTCGTTTTGAGTTCCCGAAGGTCTCGGCTACGCGCCTTGCCTTAGGATCTCTTAACTTGTCTGTTTTGTGCTTGGTTGTGGACCAAAGACTTGTGTTTTTGCTTCTGAGGGAAGAGGATGGCTTGTGGGCCATCCCTACAACCCATCGGCTAAGGCCTTGTGCCATCGGCCTTGTGTTCTTGCTATCGGCCAAAAGTGTTGGCCGATCGGCCCTCTTTTTGGTCGGTCGGCAATCTTTTTGATCGATCGGCCATATTTTTTAGCCGAGACCTTTCCATCTGCTTTTTGCAGATATTTTGTGCCAGCTGTGACAGCTGGTGGACATAATTCTCATCCTCCATACACGTGTATAGAGGGATTGCATTCAAGACTCAAGCTTGTTCAACAAGCTTGAGAATTGAAATTCTATAAGAAGGGAGCCTCCCCTTCCTTTCCAGAGGTTCTAAAAAAATCTGAGATACAATTTCTATATCTCTCTATATATATATTTTACCTCTCTCTCTCTTGTCTAGCCTTTGTTTGTGCCCAAAAGTGTAGATTCTTCACACTATTGCACACAAACACCTACTAGAACACCATCCTTTGGTTGCTGAGGTCCTTAAGCGTTGGTTTTGGAGTTCTTAGACTGGTTTTGATCAAAGAAGAGTGCTGGAGCTGTGTTCTTGAAGGTGTTCTTCAAGGGTAAGTCAACTACCTTTTAATCCCTCATTTTGGCTTAAGCTTTTAGACCTACTTACATATTGTTTTAAGCTTAACTCTAAACTACAAAAAGTTCTGATTTTTCATGCTTGTGATATTTGTTTAAGGTCACTTTTGTGTTAGGGGTTGTCTACCCCCTCTTAGGCCTTGTTTGGCTTTGTTTTGTGCCTTTGTTTTTGAGCTTTGGAACCATCTTGTTTTGACCTTCTCACCACTGAAATCCAGAGGATTTTCAGTGGTGGAGAGGTGGTTTTGGAGTCTTGAATAGGAGAAGGTCACCCCTCTCTCCTTGTGTCTCATATGCTTGCATTGTTGGCTTATAATAGTAGCATGTTTGCTTAGCATGTTTTGGTCTCATTTCAGCAAGTATTTGGTGTTATTTTGACATGCTATACCTCTGTCTAAGGTTGGTTTAATGGTCTCTTGCATGCACCATGCACTTGTAGTGCAATCTTCTCATTTGCCTTAACATGCATCATGCATTTGGACCATCATTCTTGCATATTTTGGCTCAACTCCAAGGAGCTTTTAGCCTTGTTTTACCATTCTCTAGCTCTTATTTGCATTGTTTTAATCATGCATGCATTGTTTTGTATAGCCATGGTTCAATCTAG